CAAGACAAAGATTTGCCGGATTCTATCAAGCCCTGTCGCTCCGCTTCCTCTGTCCTTCTTCATCTCAAGCATGCAACTTTCACGTCGCTTTTACAGGGCTTCTTCAGGGTTTATTAGTTCAGCCATGTTCAGCCGTGTTTAGGGTTAGTGAGCTTGAACCTCTTCCTGGCAACCTGAGTGGGAAGCGAGGCCCCGAGGCACTTTGGCACGGCGGGCAGGTCGAGTGTGCATAGACCCAAAAGAGTATTCCCAACCTTTGGGGGCTTAGGAGGCTTCTAAAAGGTTTATGTAGGGAATTAGGGCTTAGGGTCGGGCGAGTAGTTGACGCACCCCCTGGAAAACTCGGTGCTGATTATGGCTTTCGCTGCTCACCAGCAGTCAGGTTGGAACCTCACTAGAAAGAGAAGTCCGGCATGCACTCGGTGGCCTCGCGGGGAGATAAAGATCGAGGAACGGCTTGCATCTAGCTCATGAACCGTATTGAGAACTGCCTGACTCTGCACTGTAGCTGCAAGCTGATCGAGGAGGGCGAAGGGAGGGGACCTGTCCTAGACAGCCTAGTGCCGCCACCCTATGTGGTGTACTGCATTGAGCAAACATCTAAAGCCAGCGCACCACTCGTTTAGCTAACTGTGGCCCTGCATAAGCTGAAGACAGAGAGCCCTCGCTTAAATTCTGCAAGTGCCACGTTGCCATCGGGACCTCAACGCAACGTGACGCATCGCGCTGCAAGCTGTGGCCAGCTGCTGTGCTGCAGAATGCACGCATCACTACATCGGGGATGGCCCAGCTGAGATCAGATCATGCAGATGTGTTCCAAAGGTGCAGAGCCAGATCACATTCAGGGTCAGGCGCATCAGATGCCAAGCGCCAAGGCGGATGGCACTCGAGTCCTAAATGGCAGTCTCGCTTTAGGTTTCAAGGAACGGCGTGCGCGGCTGGTAGTCACCGGAGCCAAAGTCCCGGTGCAAGGCGTGAATGTGGTCAATGTAGGCATGTAGCTCATAGTTCTCTCTCTGGGCATTGAGCACTGCGTGCTCGTACTTCTGTTGCTCAACATCAGCCCGTATGGACTTGGCAAGGGACTCCTGCGCATTCTTCTCAGCACGCTTGGCCCGTTCCTGGGCCGAACTGATCGCCTTGGCCCTCTGCACGCCAGCGCCATCCAAACGCTTTCCGAACCGTTGGTTTCCCACCATGCCAGCCATTTTTAAGCGCACTTCTTCTGCATTCTCCGAGGTGAGGCTGAGAGCCAATTTAGCTTGAGCTGCTTTGCGAACCAGTCCAGCATCCAACATCCTTTGAAGTATAAACTTGCAGATAGACGTCGTACTGATGATCAACTCGAACCCGAGCGAGCCTTGATAAATAGATGGCCTGCGTCCGGTCTCAGTCGCCAAAAATGCTTGCAAGCTCTCAAGTACCGTAGATTTTTTTGGGATATCTTTAGCTGAACAGATGCGTCTCTGCCTGGTTGACAAATATAGCCCTCCGCATCAAAGAAGCCGGCCAAGTATGCCCAAGTGCATGTCCCTGCGACGCTCGTGTCGCTACGCTTTAGCAAGCGGAGCGTTGTCGAGCAGTCCACTCTGTCGGCACGCCCTGCAGGCCATGCTGCAACAATTTCGAGCTGTCTTCGCTTCACAATGCTGCACTTTGACAGAAAGCTTGCTACGTGGCGAGCACTGCTACCACAAAGGCACCATGCCAAGGTCGGTTTGCGAAGGCCAACTCCGTCTTTATGTCGGGAGATGCTTCCACCAAGAGCCCCTTGAAAGTGCGTCAAAACCCCGACGCCGTCTATGGACTGATTGACAGTTAGCTGGCAACTACCCGCCGGCGTCTGCACGCATCCATCGCCGTCAAAGAAACCCGCCAAGTATTCAAACTCGTGCGCTGCTAGCCCTGAAAAGTCCAGCCTGGGGCCTGGGTGCTCTGACTGTAGCGGCAGCGGGAAGCTTTGTCCATGCAACCAAAAAGAAGTCAGCGGTGGCCACCGGAGCATGGCAAGCTTGGTGCGAAGCTGGTGGTTCTTCTGCTGTAGGACATGGAGTGAAGCATCCGCAAGTGCAGGGCAATGGACGGCCCTCCTCCTATCTGCTAAGTGCCCAGAAACTAGCACCGCGCCTGCCTTACGAAATGTTGTTAAGGCCAGTGAGGTGCTGGGCAACGCGTTGCGTCAGCATGGACGGACCCGCGCAACAGTGAAGACATTCATCTACTATAACAAGTAGAAGCAACTAAGCGAGGACACGGGTTGCTAGGCGTGTGAGGATGGTACTTGTTCACACATCAGAACCTGCACGGTCCACACTGACCCAAATGGCAAAGCATCACACAGCCTGGGCGTCAGCAGTTGTAATGAGCTTTTCTCTTGGTCTGTCGAGTGTCAGCAAAGAAGAGGGTATTTACCCCAAGCCCACTTGGTCACTACCACTTCTTGCAAGCCCCGGGTGATGCAGCCTTGGCGTGCATCTTGCGGAAGTTGCGCTCAGCGTACGAAGCCAGCTCCCACGCAGACCTCTCTCTGTCAATAGAAGGCTGATTTGGAATTGAGGGAACGTTTGGGTTTCTGATCGCTTGGGTTCTCCTTGTCGATACATGCAGAGAGAAAGAGAGAGAGAGAGAGAGAGAGAGAGGCAAAGCGAGACAGAGACACAGAGACAGAGAGAGCTGCGCAGGATTTTGGTGCTTTGACTTTTCAGAGCTCAAGGCTTGTAATCTGAGGCTCTAAGGACTCTTGTTTTGAGGTTCCTTTTGGACCGAAGGGCATGTTAGAAAGGGCAAATAGGCTACAGGAAGTTCAGGATGTCAGGCAAAAATGGAGGGTTTGGGAGAAATATCGGAGGAAAACAAAGGATCTTAGATGCCACGCTGGGGCTGGGATGTAGGGCATCATCGCTCCCCATGACCGAAACTGACCCGTATGGATTCTTAGCGAATTTCAGCGAAAGAAAACAGGGCACAAGAAGACACTTCGGCGGCATGGATGTGGGCGACGCTGGGACCTAGTGCAAAGGGCTTTCAATGTAGGGGTTTGGAGTTAAGGTGTAGAGGGTCTAGGGGTTTAGGCACAAGGCACCTTAACACTCCCAACAAATCTCCACAAACGGACTGAAACTTAACGCTGTACCCCGACAAGCCTAATACCCTGCAGCGCAGCCCTGAGGCCTGAGAAACAAGAGATCAAGAGTGGGGGGGCAGGGTTAAGCAAAACTGCTTCAACAACACCCCAAACCCCAAACATACATGAATCCCGAAAGGATGAGGCCGTGGTCCAGCCATGGCCGCAGCAAAGGCTCGCCACCCGCGGCATCGGCGCAGGAAGTCAACGCACATGGGAGGCAACAGTGTTAAAGAGAGCTTTTGGAGGTTGAGCTTTGTTTGTCTTACGGTTGGAGGTTTAGGCTCATTTAGGGGTTGGGGTTCATTCCTAACCCCTTGCCCATCTCCCAAGATCTGCAGAAGCCCCTTGGAAGCCATGTGTTGCGATACCTACACAGCGACGTTCTCATACCGTGATGTGGATGGAGAAGCTCCTTGTGTGATCAGAATAGCTACACGGCCTCTCATACGTGGGTCTTTATCTGGGCTGCTGAATCTACTCTGAAGATGTCTGCAATGTGACACAAAGCAAGCCTTGCAGAAGTGCGGAGGGTAGAGGCGAGGGTCGGAGCTGATCAGCAACATCTTTCAAAACAGTGTTTGAAAAGAGGTCGCACTCCAGAGCCCCGCTTGGAAGTCAGAGATCATCATAGCACGGTGGTGCTGCTGTTTCGGAGCGGGGGTTGTTTTAAAGTATAGGGGCCTTTGGGAACATCAAATATACGGGCGGGCGTGCGTTACAAGGGGCGTGCAAAAAGGGACCCTGATTTAGGGAACTCGGCACACTCAGCTACATGATAGTGGCTTTTGGCAAACCAAAAGGCTGGCTGGACTTGCTCGAGTTGGCTGTTTCATCATCTTGCTGGCAGCGTGTTGTGGAAGCGAGGCGCCGAGGCACTTTGGCACATCGGGCAGGTCTAGGGCATCTGCTGTGTGTATGGGCGCATAGAACACGAGGCTATCCCAGACCTTTCGGGACTTAATGGGTCTTAGAGTCTTAGAGTGGTTGATTGACACACCTCCTGGGAAACGGGGAGCGGATTGTGCAGCTGCTCACCCAGAGACAGATTGGAGCCTCACCAGAAGGAGAAGTCCGGCATACACTCTGTAGCCTCGTCGGGAGAGGAACGCACATTTCATGGCTTCGTACTAAGAAATGTATCGAGAAGTACATCTAGCTCTCCAAGACTTGCACGTGTCGCAGTAAGGTAGACGGGGGAATTATGCCTAGGCTGTTCTTTGGGTTCAAAGTTCACCTGAAACCGACCCGAAGGCATTGCCCTGGTGCAGGGTTTATAGGGCTTCCAGGTGTAGGCTGGGTGTATGCCAATAATTATTGGGGAGCAACGGCACTTCAGCAAGTCCTTCAAGGCACAGCTTCCAGCAACCTCCCCAGTGCCGCCTTGTGTTCTTTCAAACACATAGCCCGAGGGTCCATGTACCCATAACTGCCTATAACGTATTTCTTGGGCCTAAATGACAGCCAGGTCGTTCTTTCTGAGCACGCGAAGCCTCTCAACCGATCTGTAGCCAGCGCAGCTGTCTCTTAGTGGACTGTGCCGGCCATGCTGGCCAGCGGGCAGGCTTCTCTTGAAGTATACAAGTGCCACGTTGTCATCGAGACCTCCGCGCCGTCACATTGCGCTGTAAGCAATCGAAGGTGGCTGTGCTACGAAATGCATGCGTCACCACATCACGGATGGCCAAGCTCATGCAGATCAGATCATTCAGATGTGTGACAAAGGGCCGCAATTCACACGTGCGCCGTGCAGACCGGACACTCGAAGTACTTCAGGTGCGTCACACGCCAAGCGCCAGCACGGCTGACGTTCGCGTCTTCGGGCGGCAGTGCCAGCCTGGGCTTCTGCAGAACAGGGACCGTTGTTGATTGGGAATCAGTCTTGGTACATGGCGTGAATGTGGTCAACGTAGGCATGTAGCTCATAGTTTTCTCTCCGCGCGTTTAACAATTCATGCTCACACTTCTGTTGTTCAACATTCGCCCATATGGACTTGGCAAACGACATCTGCCCGTTCTTTTCAGCACGCTTGGCCTGTTGCCTGGAGGACACTATCGCAGAGGCCCTCTGTAAGCCGGCGCTATCCAGTCGCCTTCCGAAATTTTGGTTTCCCACGATGCCAGCCATTGTTAAGCGCAGCTCCACTGCATTCTCCGAGGTGAGGCTGAGGGCCAACTCAGCCTGAGCTGCTTTGCGAAGCATGCCGGCATCCAGCATTCCTTGCAGTATCGACTTGGAGGTAGATGTCGTATAGATTGACAACGCGAAATTGTTTGATCTCTGACGGACGTGCACCTTGACACACATCTCACTGGCAAGGAAGGTCTGCACGCATTCAAGCACCGTAATGAACTTTTGCTGAAGTTCCAGCGTAATGAATGCACGGCTGTGCCTAATGTGGCCCTCTGCGTCAAAGAAGCCGGCCAGGTAAGCCCAACTGCATTTCCCGATGATGCCCGAGTCCTTGCGCTTAAGCAAAACGAGCTTTGCGGAGCAGCCCGCCCTGTTGGCATGCCCTGCAGGCCACTCGGCACAAATCTCGAGCTGTTTTCGTTTCACAATGCTGTACGGTGCCAGAAGGCTGGCGGCAAGGCGGGCAGCGCTGCCCCTGACTGTCCACTGCAAGGTCGGCTTTCGAAGGCCAACTCCATCACGATGGCGGCAGATGCTTCCACCCAGAGCCCCTTGAAAGTACTTCAAAACTTCGGCTCCATCTATAGACTGACCAACACTTAAACAGCAGCGGCCAGCTGTTGCGTATACGCATCCATCGCCGTCAAAAAAGCCTGCCAAGTACTCAAGCTCGTGCGCTGCAAGCCTTGACAAGTCCGGCTGTTCTGACTGTAGGGGCAACGGGAAGCTTTGCCCGTTAAACCTTACAGAAGTCAGCGGTGGCCACCGGAGCGTAGCAAGCTTGGAGCGTAGCTGTCTGTTCTTCTGCTGCAGGACTTGGAGTGTGTCGTCCGCAAGTGCAAGGCAATGAGCGGCCTTGCTCTCAACAGTTACTCGCTGACAAGATGCCAGCCTCCCTCCTTTTGATATGCTTTTGATGCCAGAGGGGTGACAGAACACTCGTCGCCAGCAGCCATGGATCCCGGCGACAGGGCAGACGAGCATCTGCTAGAAGCAGCACAATCGAGGAAAGGACAAAATCATGCCTATGAGGATTTTGCTTGTCCACTCTTCCACTGCAGAATTACCGTCCACACCGGCTGCAGGTGGAAACCCATCAAAGTTTCAGGCAGCTGAGAGGATGTCAGCCGTTCATTGCTGCCTGCTGCTGAAGGTCTACCGGAAAGTTGACACTCTTCAAAGAAAAGAGCAACAACACACACACACACACACACACACACCACACACACACACCACACACACACCACACACACACACACCACACACACACACCACACACACACACCACACACACACACACACACACACAAACAGACACACACACACACACATACGCACATACACGCATACACACAGGGAGAACAATCAAAGCTTGTAGACAATTTCACCTGAAGTCCCAAGCCTCACACTTTCACGCCTCTGTCAAGCATGGAGTGATGAAGCCTTGGCATTCGTCTTGCGGTAGCTGCGCGCAGCGTACGAAGCCAGCTCCCAGACCTGAACTAAGAAGGCTGATTCAGAAGGGATTCAACTGAAGGGCTTAGCTGCACCAGGCACTGAGGACTCTTGTTTTTGGGTGTTTCAGTTTCGGAACGAAAAGAAAGACATATGTGTACACATGTGTATATATATGCATGCATACATTCATAAAGGGACTTGTGTGGGGATGCCTTCGGGCTGCTTCACGCGCTCTGATGGCTATCTATATTAGAATTGCATCCTGGGGCTTCAGCCCTCTCCGGATCTCGGCCGTGATGTTCGTAGTAGCCAGACCAGCGACACCTGCGGTTTAGGAGTCTAAAGGGCTTACAGGGTTTACAGGGTTTTGGGTATTTTTTAGGGTTTATGGGGTTCGTAGTTCAGAGTTTTATGACGTTGTAGGGTTCAAGGGCTGCAGCACGAGATCTTAGGAGTCTGAGCTTATAGACCTTAAACCGCCAAAGGGCTCAGAAGCCTCAAGCCTAGACTCTTGCCACATGCCTTGCGGTAGGCACGAAGCCATAACTGGCCACAACTTTTCTCACGAGGGATTGATGGGGGCATCCTAGGCTCAAAGTGGCCCTCTCAGGAAGGTACGGGACAATACTAAGCGACCATGTCACTTCCCTTAGAGAGTTAGATGCAGCCAGGGCGATGCCCTATAACCAGCAATACTTACAGCTTCTGCATGCTGCCTTCCCTCGCCAATGCTGCCCTACACCCTACACAACCCTAAAACACAACACGCAACACCTCAAACCCCAAACGTGACACCCTAAAGCCTGGAACCGCAAACCCCCTGTGGGCCGCCTGGACTTGGGAGTGAAACCCTCGTCAGACGACCACAGCAGCAGAGGTTGATTCGCCTGGCTTCACGAACCAGATAGGGGATTTTGGTACGCCGAATACACATATTGGTCTCCACAATGCGGGCCAATGATAGTCAAGGTTTGTCAAGAAGAGCTTTTAGGGCCGGGGGCATCGCCACATCTGTCAACCTAAACACCCTGAGCCCGTATCAGCTCTGCAGGCCTTTTGCCTATCTTGCAGTAGACCCTGAAAAAATATACTTCTGGGTATAAGTAGCTATAATAGGAACCCAGAACCAAAAAAAGTATTAAAGTATAGCACTCCAAAACCCCGTTTTCAAGCCCTAAACCCAAGAGACATGGACCTGCTCAAACAGCAAGATATCCTGGATCCGAGTGCCCAGAAGCGCGCGAACTAGCACTGCCGGCCTCCCCGAAAGTGGAGTTTGCTAAGCTTGGCCACCTGCGCTGAAAAGGTGGCCATGAGGAGATGACCTAAACCCTAAACCCTAAACCCTAAACCCTAAACCCTAAACCCTAAACCCTAAACCCTAAACCCTAAACCCTAAACCCTAAACCCTAAACCCTAAACCCTAACCCTCCGATTTTTGTCCCTCTCTCAGCGCTGGGCTCCCTAGAACCAAAACTCTGGGGGGGTGTGCCTAGCTGTCTGAGGTTTTAAGTTTGCCGAAATCCCTAAATCCGAAACTGCAAACCCCGGCTAAACCCAGAACCCTAAACCTTGACCCTTCCTTCCCTGAGAGTTCATGTACCTATATCGTATATGTTTGAACCCCGTTTGAGGCCCAAGTATATACTATCTTGGTACATGGACCTTTAGGGTTTCTGGTGTTCTTAAAAACGGCCGGCCTCATCTCGCGCTCGTGCGGGTAGCCGAGGGCTGCCTGTCGGAGCTGCAGTGCTCGACTTGATTTGCTTTAAGGTTTGCCCAGAGCAGCATGTGTGAGGGTGGGGGGTTGTCCGAAAATAGGGGTATCCTCCTTAGATTCGATGTTCTGACAATGAGGAGTATAGTTGTTTGGGGTACATTTGATATTGAGGGTAGGGAAAAAGTCTGCATACCCTTGAAGGCTTGTACCTTCACTGGGTACGTCTTGTGGTAACCACAAGTTGTGGTTCTTGTAAGAGGTACACTCGGTGGGTTTCGGGGCGCAGTTTTGGCCGGAAAGGGGTTCCCATAGATACTAGGTTCCCAAGTAACCTGGGAGAGAAAGATACCCTGTTCGGTTTGACTAGGTTTATCATTCAGGGATCCAAAACCTAAACCAGAGGGAACAAGGGTACTGCTGGGCGTCCCGGTATAAGGATGATAGTTTCTTGGGAGTGCCACAGGGGTTCCTTTTTGGATCGAAGCTTCTTTATTGCAACCCAAACCCTATACTCCTGAACCCCTTCAAAGCCGAATGCAAGTCCTACGAACCGCTCGTCACCCTTCCCAGATCTGCGTGTGCCTGCACATAGCGCACTCCATCATGCACAGCGTCCCAGCCGAAATGTGTGTGGCCGAAGACGTGAACATCCGGCCGTAGCTCCTTCAGAAGTTGCTGGAAGCGCGAAAATGGAAAGCTACGCGGTTTAGGGTTTCAGTTCAGGGTTTAGGGTGTAGGGTTCGAGCTGCCGGGAAAAAACATCCCAGGCTCAGGAACCTCTTACCTAATTTAGGATCCTTATATCCGACTTTAGGGTACTTATAGCTCTACATGTAAGTAACTAGGGGGGGCTCGTCCTTGTAAGGGAACCCTTAGGGTTCAGGCTCGGGCTTCGAACCAGGTGTCCTCCACGCGCTTCCGCAGGTAAACGGACCCGCTGGCCTCAGGCCCACCAATTCCCAGAGCCCGCAAGACCCACAAGTTGGAGGCATAATCATCTATTGGTATGTTACTAATTAGTGTACGTATGCAAATATAAGAACAACAAGCAAAATAAAGCTACATAACAAGATAAGGAGGGTGAGGCAGATTTGAAATATTGGTGGAGAGGCTTGGGCTTTCGGGCTCGGCACCGCCGCCGCGCCCTCCAACCCAAAACCCTTCGTTGATCCGGAACTCCTGGCCTTCGGCAGGCAGGGCAGCATCAAGAAACGCTTCTCGAGTGAAAGCTCCTTAGCATGCTGTGGGCTCTTGATGGCTGCTTCCGCCCTTGAAACTGGGATGCGCAGGGCCGCATGAGGGGTTGTCATTTTTAACGCCACGAACCCCAGCATTTGTCCTAGAAGCACGACTCACGCTGTCAGCCCTAGAAACACGACTCACCTCCAGAATGGGATAGGTCGTCAACTCGGCTTTCTTGGGGAATATCACTTCTTGGCACAGGCATGGTGCTTCTTTATGGTTCGCCCCCCCCCCCCCCCCCCCCCCTGCAAGTACAAGTTAGACTCGAAACTTTAAAATACTACTAGCTGAATTAAGAGTAAGGGGGCCCTGCGTTGAATTGCTTCATATCTCAGATCTACAGTATCAAACCCAACAGCGCAACGCCCTTTCTTTAAGGAACCCTGTTCACTGTACGATACCCTAAGGGTCCATGTGCCTCTACAAGCGTATACTTGCAGGCCTTGCAGAGGCTCATATATTGTAGTTTTAGGACTCAAGCTTCTACAACCCCTAAAGGCCCTAAACCCTATAAACACCAGGCCATCAATCGTGAAAACCAAAATCTCTACATCCATTGTCCAGAACCTCGTTGCAGCCGTAGGACAATGCGAGGCAGGAAATGTGAAAACGTCACGAGAGCCTGGCGCAGCGACAGCGGGATATTGGCGCACCCGAACCCTGAACCCTACCCTCTAGACCCGAGGCGTTTGAAGTGGAGGATGAGGGTTTGGGGTTCCGAGTTTCTGGGTTTTGGTATCGCAAACGATGTTCAGTTTGGGTTGAGGGTTACTTGGCGTACGATTCACGTTATATATGTTCCGGATCTCAAGCGTTGCGGACACATTACTAACATCTGTGTGATAGACGCAATTCACTTGATGGCGTTGGGGGGTTGTGTAAAGATAGCCCTTCAAATTACTACCTAGCCGGACCGTAGCTGTATAAACATGAATGGGTATCTCCCCGAATAGGGCCTTGTTATAGAAACCCCCCAACAGGGTACCCCCTATGGTCGTAAGCCCCCACATCTAAGGGATTCTCCAAAGAATCTGCAAACTTGTTGCTCGTCGCCTCGTGGCTGCAGCGCTCCGTCAGCGGCTGCTGCAGACCCAAGGTGTCATTCCTTGATGGCCGGGGTTTAGGGTTTTCCGGTATAGGGTTTGCAGGCTGCTCGGCTTGAGTTCAAGCTCTCGGCTAAAGGTAGGGGTCTTCTGTGCACAAGCTAGCCTTCGGCTGAAAATGCACCGCCGGAAGACCGTTTATAGCTAGTGTAACTACTGTATTCTGTTTTGACCCAAAGACCTCAGCTGTCAAAGTCTCACGCGATCATAGGGACCCCCTATACTCCCAACCCCCCCCCCCCCCCCCCCCTAATCAAGGAAATTATGGGTCGGGTTTAGCGTATAGGTGTGTGGGTTTACACAAGCCTTGAACCGAGTTCCAAAATCCAACGCCCTCAGCCTTAAACCTTACAGCCTTACAGCACAGGGTGGGATTTGCTTGCGCTTGGGTCGGGCTTTGAGCCCGAAACCCCAAACAATAAAGCATGCACCCCAAACTCGGAAACAGTGGCCAAACATTAAACCCTAAACCATAGCCCTAAACCCTAAACCCCAAACCCCGAACCCGAAACTGCCCTCTAAACCCCAAACGCGGAACCCGGGGCTTCAACCAAGTCAGGGCGGCCAAAGGGCATGGTGTCGATGCGACGCGCGGCCGAGTCGTCGAACATGGACACCTCAGCGGCTTCAGGAGGGCTGAGGGGCTTAAGGCTTTGGCTTGGGGTCCGTTTGGGGTTTAGGGTTTAGGGTTTAGAGTTTAGGGTCTAGGGTCTATATATATATATATATATATCTGGTACTTCTTAACCATTACAACTGTGCTCATAACCCACTCATAAGCCCGTTAAGTGCCCTAATATGGTTATAAGTACAGTTATAAGTACAGTTATAATTGGTTAATAATTAAACCCTAAACCCTAAACTGGTGAATAAGCGCCATGAACCTCCAAGTAGGAACAGCATCCTGGAGCTGGAAGTGGCCCGGGTGGAAGCTACCATGGCCGCTGGTGGCAACATGTACCCGGAGAAGGGCCTATCAACCTAAGAAGCCTGTACTCCTCTTTCCTTAACAACCACCCCAAAAATTCAACATGTGTTTCCTCATAAGGGTAACATTATAGGACATATTATCCTTGTTTGTTTGGCGTTATTGAGCAAGCAGTAGTATATCAGTCCCCAGGAATGCTCTAAGCCAAATGAGCCCTGAGTTGATGTCCTGCCCATGAACCGACCCTTCGAGCCCTGTCAACCTTTCTTACGTGCACCTCCAAGTAGACCGTGAAACATTTCATCCGGACCCCCGGACAAAGGGTTTGGATTTAGGGTTCATGCGCATGTCTCCAACCGGCCATAGAGTCATAGGATTCATAGGACTCATAGGCCCCAGGGTTCTACAGCTCTAGGGCTCTAGGGTTTGTATTGTAGGGCTCAAACTGGGCCGATAGGGTTCAGAGCCTGCGATGCAAGCGAAAGAACTATAGAGTTAGGGTTCATAGGGTTCAGAGGGTTCAGAGGTTCGTACGCCATAACATAGATGACATAGACCCCAGCTGCGACAGTCAGATGGTGGGCTGCGGACGCCAGGAGGGAAGCGGCACCGCTCGTAGTCCACCATGCACTCCGCCACGGACGGAATCTGCCAGCCTAACAGCTTCGGTTCTGTGGCTTATAGAGTGCTCACCTAAAAACCAAAGTATGTAAACAAGACCCATAAAAGGTCCGCTGTTTACATACCTTGGGGTTTAGGCAAGCCTTAAACTACATGTCTGAGGTTCAGGGTCTAGGAGTTAGAGAACCCTTCCACGAGTCGCATGAACTTGTCCAGCTCTTTCTTCGATCCTTCACTCATATAGGGGCCTGAAAAATTTGAATAGGGTGTTGGGGGGTTGTAATAGTATCATTACAAAGGGGCCATAAGGAAATATTGTTAGTACCTATTCCGACCCCTATATTAAGTGGATGGATCTTTCTCAGCTGGCCCAGCACTGCTTTACCACACGCGTCACCTGTGCATGAGCATGGTGTCTCGAGGCATGCCGGCGCACGGTAGGCGAGCTCTTCCCAAGGGATCGCCTTGCTGCCCGCTTGAAATGTCCCATCCGACTGCAGAGCTCCGTGCCACGTTCTCAGTACAAGCGGCTCACCTTAACTATAAGCAAGTCCCGAAGACCGGGGTGTACGTGGAGGTTCATCGTACTTGTTAACCAAATATAGTTGTACTTATAACTTTCTAACCATATTAGCGCACTTAAGGGGCTTATAAGTGGGTTATAAGTACAGTTACAATTGGTTAATATGTACCATGAACCTCCAAGTATCAGCAACTTCGGAAGATCCGGGTGTAGGGCTTAGGGTATCTATAGGGCTTAGAGCTCTCCACCCCCAAAGCCACCCCTAAAGCTCCGGAGACTCCAAAGCCGCCCCCAAGAAGCTCCTCACCAAACCAACACACCCCCTATAAACCCTGTCCCTAAACCCTAAACCCTAAACCCTAAACCCTAAACCCTAAAGCCCCAAAAAGACAACGAACAAACAATCTCAACATAAACTTCACGAGCCATCTTGAGGACATGCTTTAAGAGAACGCACAAATGAAAGCCACCCCCCAAAAAACACCTGTTTAGGGTTTAGGGTTTAGGGTTTAGGGTTTAGGGTTTAGGGTTTAGGGTTTAGGGTTTAGGGGTCTGTAAAAGCACCCTACACCCTACCCTCAAAACCTGCACCCTCAACCCTAACAAAACCCCAAGACCAACATTCTGAACTAAGCACTGAGCCCCGAATTCTCAACCCGTAGGCGCCGGCGCTAAACCGCTAAACTCAAACCTGAGACCGCAAACCCGAAAACCTAAACCCCAAACCCTAAACCCTAATTCCAAACCCTAAGCCCAAAACCCAAAACCTTAAACCCTAAACCCAAAGGGGGCCTTCGAGTTCTGGCTCCGGGTCCCAGCTCCTTGGAGGAAATCTGGGGGCTGCGAAGCTGTCAGGGTTTAGGGCTTAGGGCTGAGGGTTTATCGGGTTAGGCTTTATAGGGTTTAAGGATTAGTTTAGGGTTAGGGTTTATGGGGTCTAGGGATTCGTCTAGGGTTAGGATTTATAGGGGTAAGGGCTAAGGGTTCAGCGAGTAGTTTAGTTTAGGGTCTAGTTTAGAGTTTGGGGTTTAGGGTTTAGGGTTTAGGGTTTAGGGCTCTGGTGTGCAGGAGCCTTTGAGGGCTTCGGGTGGACGGTCAGTGTAGGGCTTGGGGTTTAAGTCTTAGTGGGTTTAGGGATTAGGGCTTATAGGGTCGTAACCTGAAGAAGATGCCCCTGAATATGATCCTCTTAAACCCAAAAAAAATCAATATCAATACATCTCAAGGGCCTACCGAGGAATAGCCCGCGTGATGGGCCAGTTGGGATAGGGACGTCAGGAAGATTTCTTTAAGCACCCGGTGCCCCGTTGCATGCTCAGGGGCAGGGCTTCTGGCGGTTTGCGTGGTGGGGGGGGGGGGGGGGGGGAACCTGCACGATGATACACTTCCAAGTAAATGCCAAAACTAGACCCTAAACCCTAAGCCCCAGCCTTCATGCGCGTAACCGTATAAGCTTGCGAATGTCAACACCTATTTGGTATAGGTTCTTGTCTGCGAGGGTAAGGGCGTCAAGGCTAGGTAGGGATGAAAAGGTTTAGGGTTGTGGGTTTTGGGTCTGGAAGATTCGGAATTTCCGGCATTGTGGCAAGGGCCTACTCCCAACCAGTCGATGTTTCTTGAAAGCCTGCTCTTTGCCGGAAGGCTGCATCGAATGACTTTTTCCATGAAGTCCCGTACGGATCGTAGGTATTTAACGTATTTTGCCGTGTATTGTCCGGTATCTTGCCCCTATTCTTAAAACATAGTCAGGGGTCAACCAAAAGTTCTGCTTTGGTGTAAAGGCGTACTGTACAGAAGAGCCTGCACTAAACCCTATAAGTCTAAACCCTAAACCCTCTTTTAGCGTGGGAGAGCTTGCATCTGAGGTGTGGTCAGGGACGGAAGTAACGTGTCGTCTGCATACTCTAAGGTCGCACACGGGGCGTTGCGATCTCGGTCTTAAGATTTGCCAGCAGCGCCTGCATGCTTATGGTGAAGAACGTGCTGTCGTCTTGACCACGTCGCTGCTCGACATCGTCCTTCAAGTGGGCCATCGTGGTCAGAGCATCAACTTCGCCTGCGTCCACTGGGAGATGTGGAGCCTCAGCCGCCTGGCTCAGCTGTTGTCCGACTCCTCGTTGCGACGCGCAAGGGTGGCAACAGCATCTGTCTAGCCAACTGAGCTGGAGCTTAGGTAGATGCACCCCGAAAGTGTGCAAAATCGTGGTGATAATTATGGGTTTGGGCTATGTGCTTGCTTTCGGGCTATACTCCCCTGAGAACCTTAATAAACATGGTGTTTTTTTGTTTTTTTATATCCTCCTGGGCTTTGTATGAACAAAAGTCAAAACAATTCCCCAGGCGGATTTAGGCAGGGATTGCATGGGCTTCAGGAAGGTCTTCATAGGGCAGGGTCGGGAAGCGGAGGGGTGTGGAGGGCTCTGGATGGACGTTCTCGGCTAAACCCTTTTTTTCCCTCAACACCCTTAACCCGAGGGCCGTTTATATCTATATATGTATATATATATATGTATAACACCCGAAGTGAGTAGCCCGAAGCCCTAACGAGGACCGAGGGGGCTTGTGGTTTGGGGCTTCGGGTCTATATTCAGGAACCTTCAAACGCAACCCAAAAAACTAATATGTAAACCTTAAGACTCTCACAGTACTCTCTAAGACTCGAAACCCTAAACGCCAACCCTAAACTCCAAACCCTGCACCCTAAACCCTGATTCTCACCTGGCACTCCCTAAGGCCCTAAGGCTCCCTAAGCTTCTTTGAGGTTTCCCTTCAGATCCTAAACCCTAAACCCTAAACCCTAAACCCTAAACCCTAAACAGCTTAAGATCCCAGCTTCAAACCGTCACCGCACTGCGAGCCCAGACTCTGGTGGTGCCAAGAAAGGATCGGGCACACCCACACGCCCTGGCCCAGGGTAAAGGTTTAGGGTTTAGGGTTTGGGGTTTAGGGTTTCGGATTTTAGGGTTTAGGGTTTGGGGTTTAGGGTTAGGGTTTGGGGTTTCGGGGTTTGGGTTGCAGGGTTATAGGGAACAGCACCCGTATGCTGGTTAGGTCGGGGAAGGTAAGGATTTGTGAGTCTTCAAGGCCTCAAGGGTACCCTAATCAGGGTCTTGTAGCCCAAAATCCCTAGACTCTAACCCTATACTCCCAAAGCTCAAGTTCCCTGCAACATTTCGGGTTTAGGGTTTAGGGTTTACGGTTAGGGGCCTTTGCTTCATTCTATGGGTCACGTAAGCCCAAAAACCGAAATCGAAAGCCCTGAAGCCCTAAACCCCAAACCCCACGCCCTGAAACCTTAAACCCCAAACCACGAAACCCAACACCCTAGCAAGCCCAGGGGGGCGCCGTGTCCGCGGTGCCCACGCGCGCCGCGGCATTGTGGACGCCCAGGCGGCTACAGAGCTCCTGCGCCAGGGGATGGGAGGTTCATGGTACTTATTGACCAATTATAAGTGTACTTATAGCTCACTTACAAACACCTTAAGTGCCCCAACATGGTTGTAAGTACAGTTATACGTACGTACAGTTCTAATTGGTTGATAAGTACCATGAACCTCCAAGTAGGGTTTATATGACTTCCGAACGTAGTTTCCTTCTGGGGATAATCTACTTCCATGGCTCGTATACAAGCAAATGAAGAAAAAGGTGCCAGAAAGAGAAACACCATGCACATGGGTGGGGGTCTTCGAAGGGAAGAATGGTCCTGGGTTAGATGACCCTAAACCCAACACCCCCCCTACCGGACTGCAGTAGACTTGCGACACCGAAACCCCTCTGATGACCGGAAGTTCCACGTAGTATGGGCTTTGGGAATTCAGCACCTTAGACACCCCTTCCACTCCTCTTTTGGGAATTATGTAGGGAGGCTCCCCCTTAGACTCCTCTGTAAGGGATTATGTAGGGAGTCCCCCCCCCCAAATTCCTTGCTAAGAAAGGAGAGAAAGAAAAGCCTCAGAGGCTTCTGGGTCCTTACGGCTTTTAGGGTTTAGGGTTGAGGGACTCTGATCATCGTCCTAAAGGTCCATGTACCCATATGATAGTATATACTATGGGTCTTAAAGGGGCTCCTATATACTATTCGGGTTTAGGTTTTTAGGTCTTAGGGTTTAGGCACTCTGATTATCTTCCTAAAGGTCCCATGTACCTATGTAGTAAATACTTGGACCTCGAAGGGGCTCCTATATAGTTGCTGCCTGGAGCTTCGCCACTTTGTCGACACAAGTCTCGTCTTCGCCAACCTCAAGGACTCAAGACGCCGTCGGCCTAAACCAGAGCTTATTTTTGGATGCGCTACACTGTAAACTTTACAGACCATAATCGTGAGAAAACCCTAAACCCTAAACTTAGATAATTTCAGACCATGATCTTGAGAAACCCTGAACCCTAAGCTTTATAGCATAGCCCTTGACCCCTGAACATTGTACATCCCTGAACCCTTAACTTTGCAAATCCTAAACCCAAAACTTCAGAACTCCTAAACCCCGAAATCAAATTATAAGCCATAAACCCGAACCTTAGCACACCCAAAATCTTAACCCTAAACCCAAAAACGCTGTAAAAAAACAACCCAAACCCTGTGAGCTCTTAGGGCTTGCAGGGTTTAGGGCCTGGATTCTATCGACAATAAGCCCTGAACCCTGTAGGGTTTTAGGGCTTACTCAGACCCCTCAACTACTCTTGCTAGGGATTTTCGGGCCCTTTATAGCAGACACTTGGGACATGGTAGAGGGTAGTTGGGGGGGTTTAGGGTTCAAGGTGATGGCTTGAGTCTTGTGGGAGGAGGACGAAAACCTTCACAAGCCTGGAACGGTCTCTGAGCCCTGTCGGACTTGGAAACTTTATGCGGAAAGTAGGGGACCCGGGCAGTTGCAAGGGGTAAGAGTGTAGATTTTGGGATGTTCCCCGTTCTACTAAAAGTCCTGAATGGGGATTCTAGTATTCTAGTATCCCCCCCCCCCCCCCCCCCCAATTATTATCCCGGCTAAGGACTGTTAGTAGGGGCAACATCCCAAGTTTAAATGGCAACTCCCTGACTCTCTAAAACCCAAACGTCGTGCATGAATGCGCCATCAGACCGGCCCAAAGCTTTGACGACCCGCACCAGGGTTTAGGGTTTAGGGTTTAGGGTTTAGGGTTTAGGGTTTAGGGTTTAGGGTTTAGGGTTTAGGGTAGCTGATCACCGGCAAGTGCAAAAGACCCACCTACAGTCCCACCAACTACCAAAAGAGAAACAGGCCCCAAACCTTGACCAATGAACACCATAACAAGCCGGGAGCCCCAAAACCCAAACAGGGTTTAGGGTTTAGGGCTTCGGGTTGAGGGTTGTAGGGTCTAGGGCTTAGGGCTCATAATTCGTAAGGCTTTAGGGTTTAGGGTTTAGGGTTGAGGGTTGTAGGGTCTAGGACCTAGGGTTTATAATTCGTAAGGCTTTAGGGCTTAGGGGTTTAGGGCTACGAAGAACCAGGAAAAGCACAGCCGGAGGGCCCAGAGGTCGTGGTTGCCGGGGACGAAGAAGACGTCGGCGAACTTGCGCTTCAGCAACGCCTGAGCCCCCACAAAAAAAAACAACAGTCAACAAACAATGCCACAAACGCCCACAAAGCCCACAAAGCCCACAGACCCCATCAAATCCGCAATCCACAGTAGAAGAACCGCAATCAAGCCCAGAAAGCATTGGCAGCCCCAGTAACCATATTGGAATAAGGGCACCCTTTTTTGCGTTGACTACTTGAGAAGGGAGCCCAGATCCCCAAAACACAGGGAGATTTAGGGCTTAGAAACCCTAAACCCTAAACCCTAAAACTCGCTTAGAGGGTTCGGGGTGTGTCCTGAAGGGTTTGGCAGGGAAAAGAGTGCTGGGCTCCAGGCCAAGGTCGTCTCCATGACCTCCAAGGAGTCGGAGACGTCTCCTGCGCCAACTTTAGTAGGTGCTTCGGGTTTAGGGTTTAGGGTTTAGGGTTTAGGGTTTGGGGTTTAGGGTTTGGGGTTTAGGGTTTAGGGCTCTGCAGAGTTTAGGGTTCCTGGTTCTGGGTGGAGAGTTCAGGGTTGAAGGTTGAGGGTTCCAGGTTGGAGGTTTAAGTTTGGCAGCAGCTCAATGGGGCTCCAGGGGGTTTACGAGGGGTTTCTAGAGCGGTTCAGGATTTGGGGATCCTATTGGTTGACATGCACTCTGCCAGCCGGCACAACAGCCACCTGATGTACCTTGTGCTTCACACTCACAACGAGCACATCGACCCGATGCCATCTCGCGGCACAGGTAACGCTGTTCGTGCTGCCCCTCATAGATGCTCTGCAGCCAATGTTCGAACCCGTTGTCGCTGAAGGCGAAACACCTCTTTTCCTCTACATCTCATGCTTCCCCTAAACCCTAAACCCAAAACCCTAAACCCTAAACCCTAAACCCTAAACCCCCCAACAGTATGAGCAGCCACGACATGAGATTCCTTCAGGTTCAAGAGGCAGACTGCGGACTGGGATAGGTTTGGTCCCTGTCTCGGGTGCAGGGGGCCGCATGCCTTTCTGCCATTTCAAGCCCATAACCCTGACCCTAAACCCTAAACCCGAAACCCTAAACCCTAAAATTGTACTTACATCCCTCCACGAGTGGCCGCAACCCTAAACCCCCAAGACTAAAGCCTTTAAACCCTAGGACCCTCGAAGGTCTTTGGGTCGGCGTGCCTGGAGCCGCGATGTGCCGCACCCTTGCTTGGCTTCTTTTTTTGTGGAACTCGGTCCCAAAACTCAGAGATGCTGTAGGATTTAGGGCTCATTGAGGTTACGGCTGTAAAGTTTCAAAGCCCTCAAACCTCTAAGCCGACCTAAAGCCCTTTTGAGAACAAGTTGTTCGGTGAAAGTTGACAGATGTTGCCGGTGGTCCTGCGACTATCAGCGCATCCTTCACATAGTCCGTGTCCGAGATGCGCGCGATCCACGTTAGATTGTCCTGCCAGCCACGCCGGTAGAATCCCCGGTTTAGGGATTACCAGGATGGGCAACAACTATACCGTATTTGGCTTTAAAGGTTTGTTTTCTTCTGGGGGTTTGTGAGGCCTCTCAGCCCATCCTGGTAGCAATTAGGGCTTTGCGTACCGCGCTCAACCCACCGAGAACTCAAAGGCTTCCCTTCGTCCTGAATGTCCGTGTGGATGTCCTGAGCTAGGTCCCAGAGCAAGCGCGGAATCAACAGGGTAACCCTCACCCCCAACTCTAACTTGAGCAAATGTAGTTGTGCATCTGTGTATACACATGTACGAAGGACAACCCCCAAGGGACCAAGTAACCTGACCCCAGCCCCCCCCCCCCCCTCCCCCAATCACGGGCGGGGTGAGAACATCCACAGGAAGGGTGTTAAATTAGGGGAAGGGACTTGACACCCTAAACCCTCAACCCCCTCCTCCCCCCCCCGCCCCCCCCAAATGGTTGCGGTCGCGAAGTCCTACCTGAACCACTACTTCCCAAAGACCCATACTTTGTGGCACGTTACTATGGGGTACTTGGCGGGAACCCGTTCGTGACCCTGACCCTGCGACTGTCTTAAGAATGCCGCTACGTACATGTTCAGGGTAAGAGTCCAAGGTGTGCCCTAGACGGGCTAGATCAAAGTTCAAAGTTTAGGGTTTATTTCGGGTTTAGCTACTTGAGTTGATAGGGTTTTGGAGATCAAGGTTTAGGGTTTATTTCGGGTTTAGCTACTTCAGTTGATAGGGTCTTGGAGATCAAGGTTTAGGGTTTATTTCGGGCTTAGCTACTTGAGTTGATAGGGTTTTGATGGTTTTTAGGGTGTTAGGGTTTGGATGCAGCCGAGTGGCCGAAATAGCCCACAGTCTCACCGCCGACATTCGGCGGCGTGACCTGCACAGCTTCAGACCGCTTGCTCACCGGGTTTAGGGTTGAGGGTTGTTGGGTTTAGGGAGGGTTTAGGGTCCACTTGAGATTCTTCTGCTAATGGGGGGTGGGGGGTTACGAAAACAGGGGGCCCCTAAAATAGACCCCCAAGTAGTCGAATTCCCTTACAATAAGGACCCCAATAAGGCACCCCTATCTTCGGGAATCCCCATACGGAAATATTCTACCCCAAAGTCGCTGTTTCGTATGGTGAATGATCGCACGAATACTGTGATTAGTGTAGTGTTGGGGTACCATAATTTCAACCGGATCGTGCAGTCAACCCTTCGCAAACTTCTGCCGGTGCTCTTAGCGTATTTGGTGTCTAGGGTTCTGGTTTTCCTGTTCCGGTTGCCCTACAACGCCACACCACAACCCAAATACCGATCCCTGCGACAGAAAGGCTCACAACCCTCTGCAAACGCGACAAAAGCAGCACCAAGCACTCACGGAGGAAACTCGAGACCAAGAATTTATGGCATGTTTTTCTGAGTACCAGGACAGCCCAAACTATTATTAGGGTTAGGGTTTAGGGCTTGGGCAGGTAAAGTTTGTCGTTGCGGAAGACGAACCCTAACTTGCTTCAGAGTCAGTACCCACACGAGCACTTTGGAGTAGAAATGCCTTAAGCAGCCTGGCACCCTTACTGGGTTTGGGTTTTCGACTGGTTTGGGGTTGGTTTAAGGCTTGATGGGTACATGTGCCGAGGAACTAAGGCACACTAGCGTATGTACCTTGGACCCTTAAGCTGTTCCCGTTGGGTTTGGGGACCCCTTTTTGTCTTTAAGAATCCGAAGAGAATATAAGGGCCATGGTAGGAACATATTGCAGTAAGGGGAACCTCTGGGGGGTACAACCTTAGGGGCAAGACTTCGTTCTTAATCCCTTGAGGCACTGTCCCCTTGCCGAAGTGCAAAAACCAGTACAAGGCTGTCAAGGCCCGGCCGGCAGCGGAGGCGGGAGCTGCTCCCACCCATCAACAGAGGACCAAGGGAAAAAAGGGAACTGCAAACTCTAAAATCCTTAAACCCTAAGCCCTAAACCCTAAATCCTTCAACCCTCAACGCCCCAAAGCCTAGAACGTAGAAGCCTAGACCGTTGGAAAGAATCAGTGGCATGGCTTTGGCTTGTGAGGTTCTCTTGGGGCAGAGTACATATGGGGCTTAAACCCTTTGTAGGGCTTCGGGCCGCGTAGGGTCTGTGGCTTGCAGGGCTGAAGCCTTGCATGCTGCTTATGGGCCTAAACCCTAAACCCTAAACCCTAAACCCTAAACCCTAAACCCTGAACGGCTTATGGGCTGGAGGGCATGCCGACTCGCTGTAGGTAACACGGCGCTGTTTGAGGAAGACGAAGTGCGGTCGAAGATGCAGAGGGCCCGAGCCATGCTAGGGCTCAGGGTTGACAGGGTTTAGGGCGTAGGGCTTAGGATCCGGGATTTAGGGTTTAGGGTTTAGGGTTCAGGGCATAGGCTGTAGGCTTTAGGCTTTAGGCTTTAGGGTGTAGGGTGGAGGGTTTAGGGTTTAGCGGCTTCTTCAACCCGACTGCCCTGCAAGCTCCTGCATCCTCAACGACTTCAATGTAAAAAATAAAGTATCACGGAACCTTGCCTGATAATTAGGTTCCGGGAACGAAGGCATGAATGTAGGAAGAGGCTAGAAACCCTAAGACCTTAACCCTGAACTCTGACTCGGAACCCTACACCCCAAACCCTAACCTTCCCTAAACCCTAAACCCTAAACCCTAAACCCCAAACCCTAAACCCTGAACCCGGGGCCCCACAGCTGGTAAACCCTAACCCGAAAGCCATGCTGTGGACCTTCAGCTAAGTGATGGGCGCGACATGGCGCCCTCAAACTGAAAGTGCAAAGCTACAAACAGAGAAAACCCAAAGACGGTCCATCAACGTAGAGCCAGATTCTGGATTCAAAGCTGTACCCCCGGAACCCTAAAAACCCTAAACCCTAGGAGATTTAGGGTCTCCAGGGTTCTACATAAAGTTGTGGCGGAGTCCACGTCTAGGCCGTAGGGCCAGAGGGTTTCAATGACCCTAACTAAGGTTTAGGGTCTAGGGCCTAGGGTTTTAAGGTTCTTTGCTCTGCGCCCTTTTTTATCACGACCCGGGTGACCGCGCGGCACGGCTCACAGTATCTGCGGAGGTTGGAGGCAGATTTGGACTCCCTTGGTCCTGGGACGTCCCGCTGCAACAGAGCCCTAAGGCACATGAGGTGGAGGGGGGGGCGGGGGGATTCCTCAACAAAGGACACTAAGGACACACTATAGATGCACTCACCAAGAATTGAACCCTGTACACACACGACACCCACCAAGAAAAAAATTGGGGGCTTTCGAAAATCAGGGACCCCTAATATAGATCCCAAAGAAGTAGGATTCCTTTCTAATAAGGACCCCTAATAAGGTACCTCCCCCCCCCCCCCCAATTTCGGAAACCCCATATAGGGTTAAGGCTTGGTAGCCCTCAACCCTGTACCCTAAACCCATGGAGCTCTAATTTTCGCCAATTCTCGCAAACCCTCATTTAAAAAACTGTTTCACATGCAGCGGGGGTCCCATTCCGCCTGTCCGGAGCATCCACGGGGCCACTGCCCACTGAGGCACAGGGTAAGGGGTATCAGGGATTCAGGGTTTTAAGTTTAGGGTTTAGGGTTTGGGGTTCAGGGTTCAGGGTTTCAGGGTTTAGGGTTTAAGGTATGCTTTAGGGTTTTAGGGTAAGCTTAAGGCGATTGGGCTTGCAACTCAAGGGAGCAAAGAATACCATAAGCGTTGCACAACCCCATGACTTAATCCTCAACGTAAGGCTCGAACCCTATCTCCCGAAAGGCCTCAACCCCGAAATCCTCAAACCCTGACTCCCTAAACCCTAAACCCTAAACCCTAAACCCTACACCCTACACCCTCAACCCTGGGGTTTAAATACACAAGGTCCAAATTCCGTAGAGACCCTAAAGCCCTATACAGTGCTGCTTTAAGGAGAGGGTTTGGGTTTAGGGTTTAGGATTTAGGGTGTTTCGGGGGTCCTAATTCCTTAGCAGCCCTGGACGAAGAACCTTCCTGAGCCTGAGCCTCCCTGGAATGGCCCTACCGGTCTCGCCCGAGTCAGGAGGCGCGCCGGAGCACGGAAGGGTTTAGGGTTTAGGGTTCTAGGGTTTAGGATTTAGGGTTTAGGGCTACAGAAGCTACAGAAACTGCATACCGCAACGACATGTCATGAAGTCGGAGAACCGCAAGCCCCAAAACCCCAAAACCTGTCAGCGCCGTGCAGCGCGTAGCCTCCTCTTGTGCTCTCACAGCTCAGGTCGTCACGCGTGCTCGTCGGACCTTGTGCCTTTGTAGGGCTGACAGGGTTTCATAGGTTTTAGGGTGTTAGGCTAGTTTTAGGGATTCAGGGTTTTAGGGTTTTCGGATTTAGGCTGTCGGGTTGAGTTTTAGGGTTTGGGGTGTAAGGGCTTCAGGAGCTTTAGATGTGTCTTTGGGTTTTGGGGTTTGGGGGCCCCTTGGACGTCCCAACATCTCAATACACAAACTGGTAGTTGTCGAATTAAATGTTGAGTCTTTAGGTTTAGGGTCCTGATGTAAAACCGGATGCCGTTTTCGGTAGGAAGGCCAACAAAGTGATCCGAATGTACAGGACTGCCCACATTATTGTGGCTGAGACCGCACATCCGAGTAGCTAGAACCGAAAACCGTGCAGTCAACTCGGCCTGATAGCGATGGAAAAGGGTGCCCTTTTTTGCTTAAAGGGGTTTATCACGGAACCTAAACCTACCAAAAAGGGAATAAGGGTACTACTGGGCATCCTAGGCTTACAAAGCAAGCCCAAAACAAAAAACATCCACAACCATGGGCGAGCTTCCCAGCCTTCTCCTTGGTCTGGCCGCTCTCGCCGTCAGGGCTGGATAATGACCACCCTCAGGCTACGACTGGAAGACCCTAAACCGCAAACCCTGAGCCCTAAACCCTAAACCCTAAACCCCTAAACCCCTAAACCCCTAAACCCCAAACCCCAAACCCCAAACCCTAAACCCTAAACCCTAAACCCCTGAAGACTAAGTCCCCCTTACAAGAGCATCCAGGATCAGGGGCTCCAGTTCAGGGTTGAAGGGCGAAAAGAAGTGAAAAAACGCCCTGGTTGCTTTTTTTCGGTTTCTATTAAGAGGTGGTTCAAGTTAGGGTTCCTTTTTAAAATTTTGCGCCCTTCTGAGAGTTCGACGCCCTTTCATAAGGACCCCTAATTGAGAGAACCACCCATTTAATGCCCAAGCACTTCGACGAATATCTCCACACTCGGACCCCCCCCCCCCCCCCCCGTGTCCGTAATTAATGGGCCTCGTGGGGGATAGCGTTCGCGCTTTCGCCCACAGATCTTCATATTGCCATGACCCCCAGCCAGGTTTTTGGGGGTTTCGGGTTCAAGTATGACAGAGACAAGTCTGTTGAGCTGTAATGGACGATGATCTGTGCTGCAACAGCAGATCTATCCTAAGCCAAGCCCTCACCCACCATCCATCCACGATCGCGGAAGAAACACAAAGAAACTCTGAGACACAAACATCTTAACAAACA